AATCTGATTGGTGCATTATACCTTTGCATTACTTTTGGAGGTCAAATTCCCCCGGAAAAATAAAAATAAATTAAGAAAAAACAGGAATTTTGTAAATTTTGTAAATAAATAATAAATAAATTTGTAAGGTTACACACATACATACATCGATTTCAATGATTTGTATTTAGTTATTTGTCTCTCCTGAAAAGTTTAATTTTTGTAACATACACCGATCTCGTTGATAGGTCTTCTGTTTAAATTAGAGTTTTCTACATCACAACGTTTAAAAAACATTTTTTCTGGTTTTGAGCTATTTACTTTATTTATTTTTAATATATATGTCATTTTATTTGTATTCGATGAGTAAAAATGCTTGAAAATTTAATACAGTGCTTCTCACACAATAATACATTAATGTTACAACATCAGCTTAAAAATATTAGTAAGTAGCTTATATTGTAACCAAAAAATCTAAAACATACCTATACAAATATAGTTTTTTTAAATAGTTATTTTAAGTTTAAATTTGGACAAGTGTTGTGTAGTAATTTTAAAATATTATTTGTGTGGCAACTTGAAACTTCTGAATTAGGCATCTGGTATACATCTGGTATCTAGAGTTATATACAAAAGCGGCTACTGCTTTAGATTTGAATCCATATTTTTATTCATTGTATTTTTATTAATAATAAATTACTTATGATAAGATACGTAACGAAGTAGGTGTAACTAACAAACAACAACCCATATGGAATCACGTACTCATTGACAGTAAAATAATATCATGTTTAAATTGTAAATAATGATTTCAAGATAGTTATATTAATTAAGTGATTTGGAAAATATACTCACAATATCGTGTGACGCCAAAATTTTAAGTGAATTAGGTTGCCAATAATAGGCTCCTTAATAAATGGTCGGTACCGGGGCCTATTAATACTAAAKACTTTTTCGCTCAAATTCAATGTCGAGATATRCTCGAAATTGGACACTTACTATACAGCAGAGCGAGTTCTCCGTTTAMTTTTTAATTTTGGGAAATTAAATGAAATAAAAAATGTCTGAAAATATCCTTTTTTTCGTCGTTAAGGCTAAAAAGATGAACGTTGAGTCATTGCGAAGTAATCAAGATGTAAACGCTCAATCAGCGGAAGTAAGAATTGCAAAAGCCGCTATTACGATTTGTTTCCTGTTTGTTGCTGCCTGGACACCATACGCAGTGGTCGCAATGATCGGCGCTTTTGGAGATCAGTAAGAGTTAAACAACTACCTATATTTGCTACTATTAGCCTAAATAGTTTTTTGTCTCTATAGTCTATACATTTCAAATTGGATAAACCATGTTCAACAAATACCATAACTCTACCATGATGGATAAAATTATAATTTTTTTAATAAAATATTTATTAATCTTAATACCTTTGGATCATTTATACAAGTATTTTCGTTTTATTTCGTCAGAATCACCTGTATTGAGTCCATTAGGAAAAAGGCCAAAGAGCCCAATTCCCAGTATTTGAAAAATACGTCTAGTACGATTTTCATAGTTCAATATTTGTTTTTAAATTATAATTTTGACTCATATTTAAGACGTTAAAAATAAAATAAGAATTAGTAAAATAACATGTAATCAAAAAATGTTAGTAAATCGCCTCGTTGAAAAAAGCGTTAAAATTTGGTCCTGTTTTTATACAACTATATTATAAGTGTCTCAAATCGTTACGGTTTCTTCATTATAATATGTGTCAGTAACAATTTTTATTTTAAGATCTTTACTAACACCTATCGCGTCAATGCTACCAGCGGTGTTTGCCAAGACGGTGGCTTGTTTCGACCCTTATGTATACGCAATCAGTCATCCTAAATACAGGTAAATCATTAATCAATACATATCATAATAATATAATCAGGTATTATAATATTATTTTATACATTAAATAGTAATCTAAATGTAATAGTTTTAAGTCGTAATAAATTGCTACCTACTACCTATTGATGTGTATTATATTTTATTTAGTTTTGAAACGAATCCCTAAAAACAGTAAAAACCATTGATTTTATGGTGATTGGATYCTCATCGATATTATTTAAGTTATATTATCACATTGTGTTGTGTCCTTGTTAGGCGTATTTCAATAGTGAATTTTAAAATTCTTGACCTTCTCCCTTTTGAGCCCTGGACTTMAGACATTTTAATAACGAACTTAGTGGTTTTTAAATACCTCAACACTCGAAATATTTGCTTCATCCTTCTAGGTACCCTAAATAGCAAATATTATCATAAATGTTTGTTTCTACGATGTGTTTTTACATTTTAGAATATAGTTAATTACCTTATCCATTTTGACTGTCTTCACTGGCATATAGTAGGTAATCTACTGCCGTCGACCACGCCGGTTATCGTTTGCGCATCACTATTGCTAATTTTAACCTTTTTTGTAAGACAGTTGCGCATCTTTTGMCTTTTGAGTTATACATCATTTGCACATCAATATTATTCAAYAATAGAAATGAAAAAAGGTGTACATCCCCAAGCGCAAGTGGTTTTATAAATTTGGTCTTAAAATTGGCGCATCTATAAATTTACTCACGTAATAATAAATTTTCAAATATTGCATGTTTTATATACATATAATATACCAAGTAAAAAACGTAATTTTGTAACTCAAATTTTCGAGTTTTTTATGAATTTTATCAACATTTGAACTATTTGAATATAAATTATTTTTAAATTTAAAAAATCGTGTAAGTGGGTATCGATCTGCTGTACATTAGGGGGTGGGGTGGACCTCTGACTATGGTAGGTTAAATTTGTATGCAATGATAGGTATCATTGTATACGAAAAAC